AAAAGAAATAAGCAAGTGAAGACACAGCCTACAGAATGGGACAAAATCCTTGCCAACTAACCATTTCATATGTGATTAATGTCTAGAATATATATAGAATTCAAAAATTAAATAACTAAATTATTCAAACAATAAATGGACACATGAACTTAATAGACACTCTTTCAAAAAAATACGTACAAAAGTCAGCTTATAAGAGAGATACTCAATACACTTACTGTTTTATCACAGCCTATTTCACGATACCCAAATTTGGAATCAAGGCCTAAGTGCCCAATTAGTGGATGGATATAAGACAATGTAGTATATATTCAGAATGGAGTGTTTTAACTCAGACGTTAGAAGGAATTATGGATTTGTGTTGGGAAATAGATGAAACTGGAGATTAATCATTTAAGTGAAATAAAGCCAGTTCTGCAAAGCAAAGTATCACAGTTTTCTTTCATTTTGTGGTCATTATGGGAAAACAAAATGAAATCAAAATATTAAAAGATTTTGCTTTGCAAAGGACTGGGCTAACAAGGTAAATACGTATGCTACAGAATGAAGAGATATTTACAAACTGAAAAATCATAAAAAACCTACAAATGGAGGAATTAGTAATATGTATGATGAAAGCCTTGACACAAAAACTCTTAATAAGATTGGTTGTTACTTTATTGTACAAGAAAGAATGGAAAATAATGTAGAATTTTTAATTGAATTTTGGTGCAAATTAACAATATGGGACCTAAAAAATAAGTATCAGTGATATGTACCAAAATTTGTTTGAAGAAAAAATAAAGCTTCACTTATATGTACAAAATAATACTGAACAGTACTAGGAGGAACTGGTTCATTATTTGAAGACTAAGTATTACAAAGGTATCAGTTCCCTACAAATTAACTTATAAACTCCTTGTAATTCTAAGGAAATCTTAAGAGAAACTTACAGACTCAAAGAGTTTTTTTAAACAATCAGATAGAACACCAAAAGATCAAGAATGTATAATATTCCTTTGAAAAGAACAGCAAGGTGAAGGAAGTTTACAAGGTTTCAAAAATTTATTATGAAACCAGAACAATTAATACATTATAGTCTCATAGTCTTAATTGCACAGACAGATAAAGACTCAAAATAGAGACCTTAGTTGTGTATCATTAATACTTGGAAACTTAATATATGAAAACATTTTATGAAAAATAGGAAAATACCAATCTGTGTGGAAAGCTGAGTTTTCAAATAATAGTTCCTATTATTTGTTAATAGGAAATAAAACTTATGCCTCTCACCTTCTATAGTACACAATAAATCTCTAGTTTATAAAAGACCTACTTGAAAATTAAAGTTTTACCCAAGTGTAACTGAGCATAGGTGTCTCATGCCTATAATCCAAACTACTTAGGAAGCTGAGATTTTTGGTTTGAGGCCAGCATAGGCAAATAGTTCATGAGATCCCATCTCCAAAATAACCAGATCAAAATGGACTGGAGGTCTGGCTCAAGCAGCAGAGCCCTTGCTTTTGCAAGTGTGAAACCCAGAGTTCAAAACCCCAGCCCCACCAAAATAAACAAAGTTTTACCCTGGTATGGTGGTACACACCAGTAACCTCAGCTAATGAAAGATCATGAGTTTGAGGCCAGCCTGGACAAAATTAGTGGGACCATATCTCAGAAATAAAATACAACCAAAAGTACTGGGGTATAGTGGGTAGAGGCTTGCCCTATTCCAATGCATGGCCCTGGGTTAAATCCCCAGTACTGAAAAAATTAAGGTTTTAAACAAAACTAAGTGTTTAGGAAAAAATACTATAAATATTTTTTATCTTAGAGTAAGACAGGATTTCTTAAGATAAAATACTTTAAATTTATAAATGAAAATGTTGACAGAGTACATCAAATATCCCACGGGTAGAATCAATCAAATTCAGAAAAAGCCATTCACTTGTCCTGAGGAAAGAGCACAGAAAATGAGGAGACATGCATAAGGGTTTCCTTTTCAAGAAAATTGGTGCTGGATATACAAGCATTACTTATTCTCTCTTGTGAATGCTTGTAATATTTCATAATCAGGAAAAGAATTGTGATAATTTAGGTCTTGCCTATTCATGGTAGTCATTATAGTCCTATTTGGTTTTATGGCAAGTAACATGAAGAGAAAAAAAAATCTGTCTTGAACAATATTTCATTTCATTTTCTTCTTATATCACTTTAAAAGGCTTCACGAGATTAGAAAAAGGCTGGAGCAGTGCTTCTTGGTATCAATGAAGGAGGTTCTTTAAGTCTTATCAGCCTACCATACATTGATTCTATTTCTATCCAACATATTTTGACATGGTCTTAGAGATCCATCCATACTATATGTTTGGTATAGAAAATTATTTTTATTCTGGACAGTCTTGTGCTAAGTGAAAAATAATGTAAATTTATTATGAAAGAGGAAAGTACAGAATTGGGGGTAAATTTGTCATAAACATTTATTCACCAGCTTTCTTCACATTTTTTAATTTTATTTTTAACTGATACATAAAAACACAAAATTATTCATATTAATGAGGTACCAAATCATGTTTCAAGAGGATATAACAACTATAAATATTTATGTACCAAACACCAGATTATCAAACTGTAAATAATATATTATCAAATCTAAAGGGAGTTATAAAACTGGGTATGGTGGCTCATGACTGTAATCCCAGCAAGAGGATACCAAGGTCAAGGTCAACCTGGGGTCCATGGGAAGACCCTTTCTCAAAAAACATAAATAAATAAGGTGATAGGCTGCAATATAAGAAGAATTGGAGACTTCAACATCCCACCTCAATGGACAGATCACTCAGACAGAAAATCTACAAAGAAACATTGGAATTAAACTATGCTATATAACAATGGACCTCATAGATATTATAGAATATTTCAGCCAACACATAATGGAACTCACATTTTTCTTAACAGCACAGGCAACACTCTTCATAGGCCACATGCTAGGTCACAAAGTATATCTCAACAGATCCTAAACAAAATTTTTAAAAGTGAAGTTATATGTATCTTTTTTACCATAATGGAATAAAGGTACAAATCAGCAGAAAGAGGAACTGTTAGTGTCCAAATACACAGAAATTAAGTAGCATGCTCCTTAAGAATAAATGGATTAATAAAGAAATTGAGCAGTAAATTAAAAATTTATTGAAACAAATTGAAAAAAATGGAAACAAAACAGTGAAACCTATATCATATAGTAAAAACAATACCAAAAGGGAAGTCAATAGCAATAATTGTCTACATCAGAAAGAAAGATTTTGAATAAACAACCTAGCTATGACAAGAAGGATGACCTAGACTAGTAGGAACAAATAAACTGAAAATTCATAGAAATAAAAAATGTCAGAGCGCAAATAAATGAAAATCAGATTTCAAAACACCAAAGATCAATGAAACAAAATTTGTTTTTTGTAAAGGTAAACAAAACTTTCAAGTCTTTAGCTAAACTAAAAAAGCCAGAGAAGACCCAAATAAATAAAATTTAGAGATCTAAAAGAAACCTTTTCTCAGATATCACAGAAAACAAAGAATCATTAGGAACTATTAGAAACAATTATGCAACAACAAATTGGAGAAATCTAGAAGAAATTGATAAATTCCTGGACACATTTAACCTTCCTAAATTGAAACACGGGAATATGGAAGACCTGAATAGACCATTAACAAGTGATGGGATTAAATTAGTAATAAAGATTTTTTCCCAATAAAGAAAAGCCCAGATCAGATGACTTCATCTCTGAATTTTACCAAAGAAGAATTAATGCCAGTTCTTCCAAACCATCCAAAGAATTGGAAGAGAAACTCATTCTATGAGGCCAGCATTGCCCATATATCCAAACCAATCAAGAAGTCAACAACAACAAAAAGAAAACTGCAGCTTAATATTTTTAATGAACATAGATGCAGAAAATCCTCAGCAAAATGCTAGCAAATTGAATCCAACAGCATAGATGAAGAGATCATTCATAAATCAAGTAGCTTTTATACCAGGAATAACAGGTTCAACATATAGAGATCAATAAATGCAATAGAACACATCAACAAAATGAAGAACAAAAACCATAATATTCTCAATTGATGCAGAAAAAGCATTCATTAAAATTCAACATTCTTTCATGATAAAACCACAAAAGAATCAAGTATAGAAGGATTGTACCTCAACATAATAAAAGGTACTTATGACAAACCTACAGCCATCATAATACTAAATAGGAAAAGCTGAAATTATTTTCTGTAATAACAGGAACAACACAAGGATGTCCACTTTCACTGCCCTTTTCCCACATAATATAGAAAATCTTAACCAGAGCAATAAGGAAAGAGAAGGAAATAAAGGGTGTCTATTTAGGAAAGAAACTCAAATTATCCCTGTTTACAGATAATGTGGTTTTATATATTGAAAAATCTAATAACTCTTCCAAAAGACTGAAAACTGACAGATTTAGTCATGTTGAATCAACATAAAAAAAACCAAAAATCAGTAGCTTTTTTACACACCGATTATGAGAAAGACATACAAAAGCTATCCAATTCACTGCAACTATAAAAAAGGTACTAAGAATGAATTGAACTAAGAAAGTGAATGATATCTATAATTTTAAAAATGACAAAACTGATTAAATAAATTGCAGTATAGGGAAAGTGTATGTATTGTGTGATTCCATATCATAAAATGTTAGGAAATCCAAATTAATGAATAGCAAAAGAAAGTAGAATTACAAAGGGACATAAAGAAATTTGGGGAAGTAGTGATTATGCTTGTTCACATGACCATAATGACAATTTCACAACTATATATACATATATCAAAAAATTTCAAAATAAACACTCATGTTTATTTTATTGTATATTGTTATACCTTCAGCAAAACTATTAAAAAATATTTCAATAAGCATATTTTATGAATTTCATTGATAAGATTCACACACAATAGCACAAAACAATGGTATTATAATTATATTTAATCTTATTTTTTACAGAACAGGTGAGTTGGGAAATCTCACAGCTCCTTGCAATAGCCACTGTAAATGCTCATCTTCAATATTTTATTCTGTATGTGGAAGAGATGAGGTCGAATATTTTTCTCCCTGCTTTGCAGGCTGTAAACGTTCTAAAACTTTAAACTATGAAAAGGTAAATATCTTTTATTATGCTTCTTCATCTCTATAACATGTTCAAGTTGCAGATAAGGTTTATATCTCACTCCTAGCTCTCTCAAACTTTTCTTTCTTATTTTCCTTACTTTTAATTTAAAATAAGAATAGGAAATCTGTTGTATGTTCACATAATAAAAAAGGCTTATTTGTGGGAATTGGAAGTAGAAGATATACTCCTGCATTAAAATGTGTGTCCATTTTTGACATAATCCTAAATTTCTACTTGGGATGCCAAATCTTCATCTTTGTCTACCTCTGGCAATAGAAAGGTGAAAGAAACAGTCAAAGGCACTTTTTCTTTCACTTTTATGTCTTGTCTTAGTTCTGTGCTACCATCAGCAGCATTCAGTCCTCTAAAGTTTGAGCACAATCTTTTCCACTCCAAGAGATGAACCAGTGCTATCCTTTGTCCTTTCACTCAGTTTTCCCTTCTATGGAGGAATTCATAATGCCTACCTGTACTTCTTGCTGTTTTTCTATGTCTGCCCCACATCCATTCAAATATGGAATTCAGTCCTTTTATTTTATACCAAATACCATTGTATACCAGATGTATACTAGGTTTTTACAAAGCATATCAGATATTCCAATAAAAATGAGAGTAAAGTAAGAAAGTTAGGGAAGATTCGTATGAGAGACATACAAATGGCTTACATGAAATGAGATTATTTTAAAATGCCTCTATTTGCTCATTCTGTGGCCTCACCATCAAATTTCTTATTTTCTGGACTTCTACTACCTGGGTTTTTTTTTTTTTTTTTTTTTTGTCTTCTGTAATGGAGAGCATTTGACCATTCTACCACTTGTTTGGATCTACTGTTTCTACCTTTGAAGTGACACAGAAGTATTTACCCAAGCTTTGAAACTTGTGTTTCTTTTCCTCTCTCTTCTAGTCTTTGTGAAGAAAAGTGAAAAATAAATGAGCATATTTCCTGATTCACAAACATTATGCCACCACCTTTAATAGATGATGAAGTCTTTTAATTATCTATGTAAGCATTCCTTTCCCTCCCAGTTACACACAGATCATTTTGTCATAAGAAATTATCAGGCCTGACCAAACATAATTTAGTTTTTCATAGAAATGTTTTCACTAGTGCATGATTTAATATTATAAATTCAGAATTTTATTAAATATTAATATAAAGAAGGGTTTATACCTTTTATAAAAATCATTCTTCTTAAATGCCACATACCAGAATTGTACTTTAAATCTTCAAGATATGTTAATGTGGCAAGTTTTAAATGTAACAGAAAGGAGTAATGAATTCCTATGCACTAATTTTCCCATATTTAACAAGTTACTAACTCATGGATAATCTTGCTTTATATATACCCTCCTGCTTCTTTTCCTCTTTGTTATATTGAAATAAGTAAATAATTTTTTTAAATGCTCACAACGCAGCAAGACTGTCTGTCCTTGATGTTTTTATCTTATGGGATATCCAAGAACTGAACAGAAGCCATTTGCTAGGTCACTCCAACCCCACTGGCCTATTGTGGGGAATCCTTTTTAGGAACTTACTTTTATTTCAAGAAACTCTTTATAATTTTCTTGTATTTCTATAAGACGTGATTAATTCACAATCAATAGCAAGTATAGAAATAATCCACAAGATAGTGACTTACATTGTGTAATTACATTTGATACTTAACTAAAACTGAAAAATAAAATATTTATAATGAATAATTTGAGTTATCAGAAGTCACATAAACTTTGAAATAATCTGCTTCAAAACCAAAACAGACAATAATAGAACCTATGATTAGTAAAATTTGATACAGATGGAACTGATTAATGCATAGAATTAGCATTAATTTCGAATGACAAAGAATCCATACCACAGAAATTTCAACAAAATGAAAATTAAGAGAAACACTGTACATAAAAACTATCGAGTACTTAATGTAGGAGTTTTGTGGAAAAACATTTCTCAACAAAAATGTTAACTTTTAAATCATTATCAGCTTATGCAAAAGTTTGCAAAAGAAAAAGGGTAGTAGGAAAAAGTGTAACCCAGAAGATTTACAAGTTTCCATTGAAATCATAGCATTTCTAAAACTGAAACTAGTTTCTATCCTTCATGTTAGCATTGCTGCTTTGTTCCATTTGCCACCTATGTTCTACATTTTGAAAAAAATCTTCAAATTTTCTTGCACTTGGACTGCCTCTTTTCAGCAGCTGATGTAGCTTTCATTATAAAACAGTAGAATTGGAGGATTCTCTCAAAGCCTGCTCAAGTCCAACAGGATCTTATTCTCATTGTACCTGGAGGGGAAGTTAGCTCATTCAAAACATTAAGGATTATAAGGAGCAAGCCTTAGGAGACTATTTCAGTTGAAACATCCTAAATATTTGACTTCGTTTCCTTCTTTGCAATAGTTTATTATATATTTTATTTTTTCATGTATTTCAAATGATACTGCTATCAATTGTTTTCTTTGTACAGTCAATAGTCACTTATTTCCACCCATTTCCTTGTATTTCCAAGCTTTTGTATGGAGTTATTTTCTTTCTGCCTCAAGAATTTAATTTCATTATCATTTCTGAAAACTCTTCATTGGGTGTGGTATTCTAAATTGCAGTTATTTTTTCCCAAACATTTAAAAGATGCTCTGATTGTCAGACTTTTCATCACTTTGCCAAACACCTGAAAGAAATAATTTAAAGGAGGAAGGATTTATTCTAGCTCACTGTTTTAGTCTTGTGGTTCGTTGACTGTACTGCGTTTAGGCCTGTGGAAGAGTGACAGGTAGATAAAGACTGTTCACCTCATGGCAGGCAAGAAGCAAAGAGTTGCAATGAAAGCTGAGGCCTGTACTACCAGGCTTGTGCTTTTGCTCCATCTGTGCCCCCACCCTATTGCACAGTGCCACCCACATTCAGGGTAGGTCATCCATGTTGCTGTCCAATACCCTCACAGACACACCCAGAAGTCTGCTTTACTAATCTAGGAGTGTCTTGATCCAATCAAATTGACAATCAAGATTGTCCTTCTGTGATGCCTTCTGTTTCTGTTTCTGAATGCTTTTAGAGCTTTTTTCTGTTTTTGGTTTTCATCAGTTTTACTTTTATGAGCCTAGTAATTTTACTTTTTTTTTCCTTGAGCTTCACAGAACAGCTTGAATCTGTGAATTAATATCTATCATCTGGAAAAGTCTGAGCTTTTCTCTCTCTCTCTCTTTCTCTCTCTCTCTTTCCCTCCCTCCCTCCCTCTCTCCTTCCCTCCTTCCTTCATAGTTTTGAGGGAGATTATTAATATATACCTATATAACTAATTATTACCATTAGTGACTTTCACTTACACTCAGTTACTAACTTATAATTCTAATTTCAGAAGTCTAGACATGACATGACTGAGTCTGCTGCCTAGAGTCTAATAGACAGTAACCATGGTGGCCTAGCTGTGCTGTTACTGAGGCTCTGAGAAAGTATTCACTTCTAAATTTATTCAGTAATTGGCAAAATCCAGTTCCTTTAGGCTGTTAAAAAAAATCCTGTGTTTGCTTGCCAGCTGTCTATTTGGGGGCTACTTAATTCTTTCAAAAATACTCCTTCCCTCTTCAAGGATAGAAAAAGAGAATCTCCCTTAGATATGCATTCTTCAAATCTCTGACCTCAGCAGCAGCCTGGTAAGTTGTGAGGCTCACCTAGTCAGGTGAGATTTATTCAAGACAATTTCTCTTTAAGTCAATCTGGCTGTATAACATAACTCAGGGGTGTAAAGTCCATCAATTCACAGTACTAGGGATTACACAGCGGGTACAAGAGCGGAAAGGAATCCTTAGTGCCATGTTAGAATTCTGCCCAACATAGACTACAAATGGACCTTTCTGTAGTATCCATATCTTTTGCTGTTTTCTGTATTTTCCACCTCTTTTCATTTATATAAATGTAGAGATTTTCCTGATTTCTATGACCCATTTTGTGGTTACTGTATTCTATGTCTACTCTGCTATTAAGCCTGGTTTATGAGATTCCAATTTTACTTCTAGTTCCAATTCTAGATCTGGATTACAGAATCCAAGTATCTGGTAAAATTTTATGTATTTTAAGCTGATTTATTTGCTTATTCTTGTATTTCCTGAAACATATTATTCATAGATATTTCCTTGCTACTAACTCTACTAACTATAATAGTTACTGATATTGCTGAGTCTACTGATATTGTTTACCTCTTAATTTTAAGCCAATTTTTCTTGTCACTGTGCACTGCTTCTAAAATTGTATGAAATTATGAACATTGAATATGAAAAAGATTGCTTAATATAAATGAATAATTTTCTAGTTCTCCCTATTTTTGCTTCATATATCTGAGGTGGTTATATGCATGCACATTGGTGATTGCCACATATTCTTAATGGATTGTTCCTTTTATCTTTATAAAATATTCCCTTCCATCTCTGTTAATGGTATTCTTTGTCCTCAAATCTATTGTATATAATATTAATAGTTAACTCTGGTTTTCTTTTTATGACTGTTTCCATGGTGTATCTTATTCTTCATTTTCTATTTATCTGTGTCTTTATATTTAATGTGCCTCTGTAGCCAGCACATAGTATAGTTGTGTATTTTCTCCATTTATATTCATCTCTCTAGTAATTGTAGTTTTTAATTGTAGACTAATGGTATTTAATATAATAATTGACATGGTTGATTTTAATCTATTTTCCTTTATATTGTTGGAATTGAATACATTTTGTTATTTCATTCCAAAGGTATTTTGGTTTTACCTCATTAATTTTGAAAATTGCATCTAATAAATAGTAATTATATGCAGAAAAGTTATTTTATCTACATTGTTACAAAAATTTTCACAGTTGGTTAACTCCATATTTTAAATCCTAGCTAAAATTTCATTTTATTCATTACGTTATCTTTAACTGTCCTCTACTTATATATAGCAGTCTGATAGCTATGAAATTATAAGTATTTAGGGAAATTTTCTTACATTAGCAGAACTGTAGTTACTCAGTTACACACACACACACACACACAGAATGACCCTTTATCAAGTAAAATGTTTTATATTCATTATTAATGTTTCACTTCTAAACAATTAATGGCAGGCCAACTTGAGGATATTTATTAATTAAATTGACCACTCTCTCTACAATTACCAATTTGATTTTATTCTACAATGATAAGCTTCTATTTCATGAAACATTATTTCTGAAACATTATTTTCTCTCTTCAATATTCATAGGCATACTATAATTGCTCTTGCATAAAAAATGGATTGCTATCTTCAGATATTGAAGGAGAATTTTTTGATGCCCTACCTGGAAAATGTGATACAAAGTGTTATAAATTACCTCTGTTTTTTGCTTTTTTCTTTTCTTCAATTATTTTTTCTTGTTTTTCTGCTGTACCACTCAACTTGACCATTTTTCGGTATGTACATACATAATTATTATTTATTTAACACATAAGAAAGGTACATTTAGAAACAGTTCAGATTATTATATTAAAGAATTTGTTCTATGTTTCATGGTAGCAATACAAAGAGAAAATGTTTAACATTGTCAAAATTCAAGTATATGTTTAATTCTCTCTTTTAACTAGTTTATTTCCATAAAGCATGGAGATATCACATTTAATTTAACTTATATGTATATATACATTGTGACAGCATGTAGTACTCCCTAAATATGTATAATTTTTAGGTTTTGTGCATCAGTTACAAAATAAATTTAATTAAAACAACCATATTTACTTAATTTAACACATTGAAAAATCATAAATAGGAAAATTCTTAATTAAAACTCAGATGTGCGTATAAAGTTGATTCATTTGTTATATGTATTTATTATCAAATTATCTTTGATAATTATATTAGTCTATGAGGCTGTGAGAAAACAGTGTCATCAGCAAAGAAACATAATAATTTTTTAATTGTCAGTACATGGCTTTATTACTGTAAATAGAATTAATATTTGCTACTTATACATTCTTCATGAAGATATGAAATGCATTTAATGTTTTTCCTACTAACAGAATAATAATTGGTTATTATTTTGAAGTGTTTTTCAAAATGTTAGCAATAACCTTTGAGTCATAAACATCCTGTAGAGGCTGAACAGGTAGCAAAGTAGAGAAAAGTCATAGTTTGTATCTAGCATGATTTGGAAAAGCTATAGAGGGTGCAACTTAATCTTAGTTTGAAGATAAATGACTTCTCATATTGCAAGCAGACTGGAGACAAAATCTTCACAGGAAAAGTGATTAATGAAAGTTGAGGCAAAAATGTGTGAAATATCCTGGCAAGAATTTTATTACTGCAGGGAGAGAAGGAGATTTGAGCTAGTGAAGGCCATAATCATGGAGATCCTGTTTTGCCATGTTAATGTGAATGATCTTATTCTGTGGACTTGTGAGTCACTGAAGATGGTAAATGCATGAAGTTTTAAGATAGCAGATTAGAAACACCAGCTTAGGAAGATCCATAGGTGCTCACCTGCTGGCACTCTGCAAAAGTAGGGTTTATAAAGCATGGGAAATATACATCCTAAGCAGCAAGGAGATGGTGGCCAAAGGGATCTTAGCACTTCCTAGATTGCTTACTGGTAAGATGGAGAGTTCTTAATCAAATAGCTCAGCAAGAGAGAACAGAAGATTCTGTATTTTTATATTTCCACCCCCCAAAGACTTATACCTCTCCACTGGCTAAGCAAGTGAACACCCCAAGAATCAGTGTGAATCCATCAGTGAACCTAAGGACAAAAACACCAGAACTGCAGAACTAACTTGACATATGGGTAAGAACAGTTGTCTGTGAATGTGACCCCGGGTGGTAAATCAGAGCAGTGTGAGGCTAAGGCATTCAAGATCATCAGTCCCATTGCCTTGCCAAGTCAGTACAAACAGTTTTGATTTGACTGCTTTGGTGCTAGGAGACATCTAACCTGGGGGGTTCTCAGACTGAGGTGAGGGGAGCAGATTAATGGCAACTTCTACACTCTCCACATGAACAAGACTGCATACAAGAAAATACAAGCAGGAATTCATCCCCACAGAAAAGGCAGGACACAGCAAGTCTTGTAAATAGATTCTCTGATTTAACTTGTTTGGAGCTCAGAGAGAGAAAGAAGAAAAAAAGAAAAAAAAACCAAGCTGTCCCACAAAGTAAACTGCAAAAAACCTGCATGGTGGGAATAGAGTCAACCCTGTTTTCACTAGCAGAAAGAAACATTGATGGTTTCCTGTTGTTGTTTTTCTTTTTTGTGACCATTTTGTTTTTTGCTGTACTTGTTTTATGTTCTTTCTCACATTTAATCTATTATTTCCTATGCCTTCATCCCATATGCTTTTCTTCTCTTACATATCTTTCTTTTTTTCCTTTCTGCATGCTTTCTTATTATTACTTAATTATTAATACCTCTAGCTTTAATAATTTTTAAACTCAGTATATCTTATAAGGATTCTAATTCCTTAGTTTTCTTTTTATTTATTATTATGCTGGGTAAGGGTACATTGTAACATTTACAAAGGTTCTTATAATGTATCAAATACATCATACTTGAATTCACTCCCTCCACTTCTCTCTTTCATTCCCTTCCCCAGATTCTTGGAACAGTTTTAACGGATATCATTTTTGCCCTACATGTGTATACATTATTTGCACTGTTTTCATCTTCCTACCCCTTTCCCTGCCACCTTTCCTCTCCCACCAGTGTCAAACACCCCCACCCTGGGGCAGAACCTATTCTACCCTCCTGTTTTCCAATTTTGTAGAAGAAAAAACATAAAAGATAAAAAGAGAAATATTATGTTTTTGCTAGTCTGAGATAAAGATAGCTACACAGGGAATTTCCTTATGTTGTTTCAACACATATATGTATTACAACCCCAACTGGTTCATCTCTTCCAGTCTTCTTCACTCCTCCCTAGTTCACTTCCTCATAGTGACCCTGACCATTTTAAGAATTCTATATTTATTCCTGCACAGTGAGCACATCAACCACATTCAAGTTTTTGGTTTCTTTCCTTTGCCCTATCCCTCCTGTGGACAGCCTCCCCATAGTGTGACCAATGTCCCATAATATTGTTGCTTTCATTTTAAGTCTATAAACCACATAAGAGGAAAAACATGCAGCTCTTGGCCTTCTGAGCCTGACTAACTTCAGTTAATATGACGTTCTCCAGTTCCATCCATCTCCAGTTCCATCCATTTATCTGCGAATAACAAAATTTTGTTCTTCTGTGGGGCTGAAAAATTCCATTGTGTATAAATACCACATTTTCTTCATCCATTCCTCAGTAGAGGAGCATCTTGGCTGTTTCCATAGCTTAGCTATTGAGAATAGCGCTACAAGAAAAATGGATGTACAGATGCCTTTGTTGTAATCTGACTCACATTCCTTTGGGTATATCCCTAGGAATGATATTGCTTGATCATATGGTAAATCTATGTTTAGTTTTATAAAGAGCTTCCATATTGTTTTCCATAGTGGTTGTACTAGCTTACATTCCCACTAGCACTGTATGAGGGTTTCTTTTTCCCCCTCATCCTCACCAACATTTGTTGTCATTTGTGTTCTCAAAAGTAGCAATTCTAACAGGAGTGAGATGGAATCTTAGTGTGGTGTTGACTTTCATTTCCTTTATGACCTGGGATGGTGAGCATTTTTTCATATGTTTTTTAATCATTTGGACTTCTTCCTTTGAAAAAGTTCTGTTCAGTTCAGTTGCCCATTTATTAATTGGATCACTGATTTTTTTGGAAGTTTAGTTTATTGAGCTACCTGTATATTCTGGTTATCATTCCCTTGTCTGATGTGTAGCTAGAAAAGATTTTTTCTTCAATTTACAGACCATTTCTTTTGTTGTATAGAAGCTTTGTAATTTCATGTAGTCCCATTTGTCAATCCGAGTTTTCAGTTGCTGAGCCACTTGTGTTCTACTGAGGAAGTCATTGCCTATGCGTATTGCTTCCAGTGTATTCTTTGATCTTTCCTGTACCAGCTTCAAGGTTTCAGGTCTGATAGTAAAGTTGGTCCTTAATCTATTTTGAGTTGATAACTTGTACAGGGTGACAAACGTGGATCTAGTTCAGTTTTCTATAGGCAGATACCCAGTTTTCCCAGAAACATTTGTTGAAGAGGCTGTCTTTTCTCCATCATAAGTTTTTGGCACCTTTGTCAAAAATTAGGTGGGTGTGGTTGCATGGATTTATATCTGGGTCTTCTTTCTGTTCCTCTGGTCTTCATATCTGTTTTTGTGCCAGTACCATGCTGTTTTTATTGCTATGACTCTGTAGTGTACTTTAAAGTCAGTATTGTAATACCTCCAGCATTGCTATTTTTGCTCAGTATTGCCTTGGCTATTCACAGTCTTTTGTGTTTCCAAATGAATTTTAGGGTTGATTTTTTGATGAATGTCATTGGTATTTTGATGGGATTGCAATGGACATGTAGATTGCTTTTGTACTATAGCCATTTTTACTATGTTGATTCTGCCAATTCATAAGCACGGGGGATCTTTCTACCTTCTGTAGTCTTCTTTGATTTCTTTCTTCAGTGGTTTGTAGTTTTCCTTATAGAGGTCATTCATATCCTCTGTTAAGTTTATTCCTAGGTATTTGATTTTTTTTTTTGAGGCTATTGTAACTGGATTGTTTTCTCATATTCTTTCTCAATCTATTCATTGTTGGTATAAAGAAAGGCTACTGATTTTTGTAAGTTGATTTTGTACCCTGTCACTTTGCTGAATCTGTTTATGGTGTCTAGGAGTTGTTTGGGTCTTTTAGGTATAAGATCATGGTATGCACAAATAGGGATAATTTGACCTTTTTATATTCCTTTTATTTCTTCTTCCTGCCTTATTGCTCTGGCTAGGAATTCCAAGACTGTTGGATAGGAGTGGAGAGAGTGGGCACCCTTGTCTCATTCATAACTTTAGAGGAAATGGTTTCAGTTTGTCCCCACTAAAAATGATGTCAACTATACATTTGTCATATATAGCCTTTATAATGTTGAGGTGCATTCCTTCTATTCCTAGTTTTTTTTAGAGTTTTTATCATGAAATGATGTTGAATCTTATCAAAGGCTTTTTCTAAATCTATTGAGATGATTAACTGCTTTTTGTCTTTGCTTCTGTTAATGTGCTGTGTTACATTTAATGATTTGCATATATTGAACCCTCCCTGCATCCCTGGAATGAAGCCAACTTTGTCATGTTGTATGAGCTTTCCAATATGTTGTTGCATTTAGTTTGCCATTATTTTATTGAGGATTTTTGCATCAATGTTCATTAAAGAAATTGGCCTGTAATTCTCTTTTTCGGATGCGTCCTTGTCCCATTTAGGAATGAGTATAATACTAGCTTTATAAAATGAGTTAGCAGTGTTCCTTCCCTTTCTGTTTTCATGGAAAAGTTTAAGGAGTGTTGGTATT